AATATCCACTCTTTTTTATGTGTTCTTGAATGTTTTCCTTCACAAAATGTGAGAACAGGTGCTTGAGATTTTAAAGAATATCTTATTTCATACAGATAGAATCAGATGTTTCTTCCTAAATCTGCCCTGAACCATTTTTTCCTGTTTCTTTTGAAAACTTTCAACTCAAGAACCATATTATAATACCATCTTATCTTGGCTGTCCAGAACTTGGACTTGCTTACTCCCAAACCTGAAAACACTTCAGTTTAAAACAATGGCCATACATCATGTCCATATTCTGCAGGAACAACTTCCTGTGTAAATTCTAGTCACAGACTGTGTCTCTTTCATAACAACAGGATGTTTGGGACATAAAATGGAACAGATTGCTAATGCCAGACATCCAACACTCAAGAAAATTAGAACTGATGAACTTGTCAAAGTTCCTGGTATATCCTCCAACTAGCAATACTTACATAGACTTACCGTATTTAACCCATTATTAGCCCATATTACTAGCACAACAATCTGGTCAGTTTTGGTAAACACCAGTACAATCAAGGAAGTTTTTGAGTCTATCTTAGCAAATCTAGTTCTCCAGCAATGACAGAACATTATACAAGAACTATTTTCCAGCCACCCTGAATGAAAAAATTATACCCTATCTGTTAGGAACGTTTTTGAACCAGTCAAAAACAGTCCTATTAAGTCCCCGTCCAACTTAAGATGTTGATAGTGCCCAAGGTGCGGAACAGGTTGAAAACAATTTCTAGACAAATCAAGCCTTTAACATGTTGTAACAATTTTATAAATCCCCCAGAAGACAAATAATATTATACAGAAAGACAATGGAAGTATGATTAATGCTGACAGACAAAGACATTGTACTTTTTGTGGTAAGCTATATCCTTCCATAATTGTTTTTCCAAATATACTGACTCCAATAAAAAAGGGAAAAAATTCTTAAGGCAATATACTTAGATAATTTTATGCTTGTATATAGATTCTTCAGCAATCCTTTACTTTAAAAGTATGTCATATTGTTATGTACACCTTTGATTAAAGTACAATCTTACACCTCAGGAAAAAAAACCCCAAGAAATAAACAAAACAGCTATTTTAGTATAATATCCTACCAACCATAATATGGACATGTTTTACTATTGGTGTGAAAATTGGAGACAAAGGTAATTCATTTCAGCCAAAACATCACTCCAAAGTGCCAAGGTATACTTATCAACTACCTCACAAATTGCTACATAATAACTGCTCTTCTTGACACAGCATGAAACATAGGCCGCCTGCTGGGAGACAGGAATTGTGTTATAGACGGTCAAAAATATTGTCTTTGACATTTGCAAGGAATTATTCAACAATGGTTTGACATTAAGGGTCGCAGGTTGGCAGATAAATAATATTTGCAAGGAAAGCATTGGAGCTTCTCAGTACTTTTGTGTACATTGAGCCACAAATCAAGTTAATATTTTTTGCAGTAGGAAAACCCTACATTGCTGGTCAGATTTATGTCTTTAAGCACCTTTGTATGTGATGTATATTGCCATATAGTATCTTGGCACTTCAAAATACCACCTTAGTTTCTGTTGAACAAATTGAATATAGAGAGCTGATCTCCAGGGTTCGTGACATACAGGGGGCTTGTCTAAATAAATACATTTGCTATGTATTGCCCTTCTAAAGTCACTCATTAGTTGATCACGATATGAAATTTTTTGATTAATAATCATGACATCATCAGAATTGTCATAATCATACAATTAAATCTGAAAAAAATTGTCAGTAAAGTGTTTGGTTGTTATGACCTCAGTTAAACTTTACACTAATTTATAAAACTGATGTGTGTCATCATATGTAAACTTCAAAGTCCTCGGCTAATGATTAGTCAGTCCAAAGAATTTGAAAAGGAGGGGTAAGCAAGCTAATTCTAGACCTGAAGAAAAGCTATATATGTTTGAGGGGAATGAGGAGGGAGGAGAGGAAAAATTGGGGAAAGTGATGACCAACATACTTAGTGCTACATGTAGCAGAAGTATCCAAAGTGTTGTATAGTCGACAAATTAACCTGGCCAGGGTCCAAAGTACCCATAGCCACAACATGGGCCCTACTAATTAACAGCTAACGATTTACTCCCATGTGGACTGGACAAAGCCCTCCTCCCCCTCTCAACATATGTCCCCCCCACCTCCACCCTCTCCTGCAAGAAGCCCCTACCCCCATACAAACACTCAATAGCACTTTACTGCCAAACACTGTCAGATTTGTTTTACATACTTTCAGAATAATTACTACAATCATGATTTATCACAATATTTTATTTCATAAATTCATTTGAAGGCAAAGTTTCATACATAAAGTTTCATACTCATGTTGTATATTGTTGATATATACCAGCATTGCAATGTTTATTTCAAATTCCAAATAAACCTACTAGATTACCTCCTCCTTGTACTTAAGGGGATCAGGGCTCATATACTACATCTGGCCCCAGAGGGGGTCATGCTCTCTGGCCCTTATAACATTGCCCTTTATGACTAACAGACCCTAAGTACCTGACAATGACTGTACCTAAGTATATTTAGGGTGGATGAGTAAGAAACCTTCTAAGAGGTATCAATCCACTTAACAAGGACTGATTTTGATAGCAATTTAATAGAGAGATGGGAGTTATGGGGTAGGATTAGGGACAGAGTTGGGGATAGTGAGAACTAGGGGTGGCAGGGGAGGGGGGATGGAGGTGGAAGATAATAAAAAGACAAGGAAGCACTGTCCACTACAAGAGAGGAAGTTTGAAAGGAAAAAACAATTAATCTATGTGCTCCTGTCTGCTTCCTCATTAAGGAAAGATTGGGAGGGGGGTGTAAGAGGGGAGCTGGATGGGGGTGGGGAGGAAGGGACCATAAGCATGTGTTGAAAGTATTAAATGCTTGGTATGTTATTTTAACAAAGAGAGTTCTTATTAACTTCAGAATGTACATGTTTTTAGGATTATATGGAATCCTATGAACAATGAAGTTTCTCCTACTACTAGATAGAAACCCATTTCCCAAATGAAGACCGATTACACAAGGTTCTGATATCACCGCTGGGAATTCCTAGGGCTTCACAAGGCAAGACAAAGAATTCCAAAGCATTATATAATGAAAACCAACAGGTTCATCATGATAGGACTTCTTGAAAACACAGATGTTTGGATAGGAGTATAATAAAGCTAGAGGAGTCGTATATCTGTAGATATGTCATAATCTGTTGTGTGTAAATTACTTTTACATTAACTATCTTCTTTCTTCATCTCTTTGCCCTCCTTTTTTCCCCCTTTTTTTTTCTCTTTCTTCCCTTCACTCCTTTCCATTTTCTTCTGATGTTTCTTTTGTCTATCCTATTCCTTTGTTTTTACCCTTATATCTTTTTTCTCTCTCCCTTCTCCATTTCTCACTTCTTTCTTTTTTAGTCTTTAATGTGCTTTTCCTTTTATTTCTCTTCTTCTGTCTTCCATTTCACTTCTCCCTATCACACCTCTTTCTCCTATCTCCTTTCTTTGTCTCCCATAAATTATATATCTTTCATTTCTAGCTGTCATGCAATATAAAACTTCTCATTAGTATGTACAAATATCAATTCATTATATGTTACATCCATTAGGAAAAATCTTCTCAATTTACTGAAATTCCTAAATTTTAGAATGATTCCTTTTCAGTATACCTTATCAGCTATCAAAAATCTCTTGGGTTACATTCCTGTTTTCCAGTTTTCCTGTCATATTTTACTTTCAGTACTATTTGATACGACTGATGACAATTGCATGGGATGAAACACGATGACATGATTCTGAGCTTACTCTCCTTGGAGATTACCATGAATGGCACATATTTTTAATTTCGTATTATCGTCCTTGCGATCACAATAGGTCCCTGTGTAGCTGAAGTAATTACCATGTATTGTCGTGTGTTTTAATATTCGACCATGCATGCAATTCAACTACAACAGAGCATTTTCTCCTCTCTCAATGGGAAATAAACGTTATGGTGAAATCTAGGAAATATTGATTGTAAAATATTTCTGTGTCTATACATATACCTAACTACTAGATACGTTCAGTCGGAGAATGAGAGACCTTTTTACAGGGTATGACAAAACCCTGACATTTAACAAATTGCTTTTTTCTAATCATTAGGTCTGGATGTGAAAATGAGGGCATTTCATCTTGCAGTAGATAGTATCAATGTTGTGTGTGCTGACTTTGATCCTGCTAAACACACTATATTAATTAAAGACTAAGCATCACATTCTACCTGTCAAACTTTGTGATAAATTACAGGTATGCCATTACAAACAAGAGCTTAAAACAATCTCACCATTACTTTATTGACAAAAAATATTTTTAAACTTTTTTCTTTTTATTGGGGGAGGAAAACTGAGGGCTGAAGGTGAGAGGTATGTATGTAATGATATATCAATATTTTTTTTTAATGTTTGAAAAGATTGACAGTTAATGATCAATGTATTCCAAAACTATTAATCAGAAATACATGTATCTAGTCTGCAATGTTTCTATACCCACAGCGGATCAAATATTGATTGTTGATTCTTTTCATTAGTAGCAGCAAGCAGATTGGCTAAAATAATGCTTAACAGGGATATTTTCTCCCACGCTCAACAACTTTTCATGGTTTTACAGGTTGCAGTGAAAAATAAAAAAGGTGATTAGTTTTACAGTTAATACATCAACTTAATGAAATTGGTGTTCTCTTAAGTCCGCCTTCCTTTTTAACACAAGCAAATCATTCATATTCATCATTACTGTTAAAATTTAACAAAAAAGTTATATCGCTTAAAACCAAATTAAACATGGCTGCCATTGCAGGCGATTTGTTATTGAGAGGGGGAAAAAAAGGTATGGGTAGGGGGGGATACAGTTGCTGAAAAAACAACTTGAATGTTGTTTGTAATTTAGGAAGTCTTATATGTATAAATTTCAGAATATGAAAATTAAATTACAAACCCATTTCTCCTGTGATAACTTCCACGGGTATACTTCTGGGTGATATTCCGCCGTCTCCAAGAGAGGCGACTTGAAACACATAACGAGTTCCAGGTTGCAGGCGATCAATCACCTTTTCGTTCCTTCGGATTTTTGACAATTCAATGAATCCACCTACTTCGTCTTTAACTTTGTAATAAATAGTATAGGAACGAACCAGGCGACTGGGTCCATTAGTATTCCACTGTAAACGCACTGAGGTTTCAGTGACATTATTTGCCACTAAATTGGTTGGGGTTGGTGGGAAAGCAGCATTAGATTCATGCATAAAACTGGACAAAAAAAGCACAATTAATAAACGATGTGACCATACTGCTGTCATTTTGGCATGAAAATGATCCATTTCATGTATGGCAGAAATTCACACTATGATCTTACAGTTAAATGACTATCAGCTGTCCAGAATGTAATTTGAAAATGAGGAGATATTGGTCCAGGTTCAAATTAATCCAGTACATTGTCTGTACATGTTACATACAACACATCCATCATGGGTTATCTAGGCCATGTATTGAGTGCTGATGATAACGGTCTGGACAGATACACTGCAGGAGTATAGAAATCTCAAAGGATATATCCTGGACAGTGATTTAAAAAGCCATTGGGAAGCAACACCAGACCATAACACAAAAAAACTCCACTAACTCCTCTTTTTTGAATTAATTCACTAAGCTTCACTGATCAGAGAAAATATCCAAGAAGTATTGCCACTCTGTGGCACACTGTTAGATCTGTGTACATATCAATAGATAACTTTTAACTCCGGTTGTGTGGTAAATATTTCATTAACGTATAGCCAGGTATACTACCACTATTAGTATGCCTGCCGTCTGCTCTCCTTCAACTCTCTCCTTCCAGTGCCTGACACTGTTTACTTATCTACAGCATGGCCACAGGCTGTTGGCATCACGTTTCATTCAGAGTGTCTTTCTCTCCATCTCACACTGAGGGAGGGTGCCATAGTCATGTGACCTAGCCAACACATGCCCATTGGCTGCAAGTTCTGGTACAGTTTGAGAAGGGGATCAAACTCTGTGTGTGTGTGAGGGAAGCCTGGTCTTGTTCCTATAGCAACGCATCATGCTGCTTTTGCTCTGAGAGTTTTCCTTTGGAGTAAAATCTATATTTCCTTGTCAGATTAGTTTTTTTTTAATAAAGAAAGAAGATATTTTGAAATTCAAAAAAAAAAAAATAAAGTTGTTAGTTATAGAGCCTGTGGTATACAGGTACATGAACACTTAGTAGTCTGGACTAGTCAACAGCAGCAGCACCACTATACCACAGTTTAATGTCTAAACTCTACAGAACACACCTATCTCTCTATCTCAAGAGGCAATCGGAGCTGATAAGGCTTAAAACAGCTATCCATAAATATAGACTCCGACCTGATAAGGGATTCAAATGTGAAAATTGAGACCCTCAAAAACCTGCCGGTTTCCATCAAAAAAAAAAAAAAAAACTCCAGCAAACTTTGGACTGATGTTGAGATTGAAAAGCTTTAGAAGGGTACTGAAGAAGGTTTGCTAATGGTGAAACCTGCTTCATGGAAATCTCCAATAAATAGCTACGCACTCTGCAGCTCCCCTCTACTTAAACTTCAAAACAGGTTCTTATCAATGTTCTACTTTGTGTTCATGGCATCATTTTATATTTTACAGTATTAAAACTACATCTTTGGCACCAAAGCTTATCTCATTAAAGACTTTACAACATATCATATTAATCATTATTGCTTTGAGCAAGGCATTCACACTTTTTGAAATATGTAAATACAAACTTTATTCCTTGCTTCCCATCAGAATGTAAGGTGATTTTTCCTAGATTTTAGATTCAATCTCAACAAGCTAAAAGGCAAGTTGTATATTTAAATTGGAACTTTTTTTTTTAACCTCTTTTGGTGATATGTGTTTGCTTCCTCAAGCTTGTTATATATATGTGTCGATGCTAATTTCTTTAAACAGCACCTTTTAACTTGTATTAAAAACTACCAGACAATTTTGAATTAACAGTTTTTTTTGTTTATTGTTTTAGCCTTTATTAATATCATGTTTTTTTTTCTAAACAAATCCTTTCAATATACAAAAGCTTTGTTTCAAATTTGTATAGACTGTATGATCAGAGGTTAAAAAGATAGACATCCAACACCTGAAAATAATTCGTACATATACATGATTTCCAGTTAAGTTATAAATCCTAGTTTGATGCGCAGGACATTCAACTTTAATGGAATTCACAAGATTTAGGTTTGTAGGCCTAGTCAAGCTTGGTTTGCTCTACATCTCTAATATCACAGTTTATCAATCCCAGAATTCTTTGATCATTAATAGTTATACTTATAACATATATATATATATATATATATTGATATTCAAAATTCAATTAAAATTATACATTTGAATTTTCAAAGAATACCTTAATACACAAGTTATGGGATAAATTGAATTCAAACACTGAGGAGAAACTTCTCAAATATGATTGACTAAACAAAAGTTGTTTTTTTTTCAACTCTTTTCCTTTTTCTATTTCTGCCATGAGATTGCATGAAGAATTTTGGTAAGAAATAGTTACATTATATAATTTTGATTTATGCTATTCAATAGCAAAAATACACAGTTAAAATTTGATATTCCTGTTTTGAACTAGAAGGGCAAAATAATAAAATAATATTTGAGAATAAATTTACACTGTTGCATAAGTACAAATACCTATTTGAAAAATAGAAATGTATTTCAGTGCTTGAATGCAATGACGCACATAACATTCATAAAAACAGGGGAGATAACTCCCCTGCTTTTTCTGATTATGCAACAAATTTTGATACTGACCTTTGACCACGACTTCAGCAATAGCTTCAATGTTTCCCAGGTCAGAGGAGGCCACACAGGTGTAGTTCTTGGTTTCTGTTACGTTTAAAAGTTGTAAAACATTTTTACCAATACTGATGTCGTCTTCGGTGTTTAACTCGAATGGTCCATCTCTCCACTTTACTACTGGCATTGGTGAACCAATAGCCACACAGGTTAAATTAATACTTGAATGCAGGTCAACTTCCTTTCTCTCTGGTGCAATCGTAAAATGAGGTGGAACTCTTCTCACTGGGAAATAGAAAACAATGATTTTCTATAATACATTTAGGCACACTGTCAGTAATATCTTACTGAAAGTATTGCTATTTAAAGTGAATGTTTCTTTATATATCATCAATTTCAAATAATAAACCCAGATGTCTGTATTGCTCACATACATCTGCTTTTACAACAACAGAAATATCAACACTGTTTGAATTTTTTTTAAAAGGTTTCTAATCCCAAAAATAGTTGAAAAATGATTATTTGTGTGTATGCATTTATTTAGCCAAGAAAACTAAATAGACAAATTTCTATCAGAAACAGGATTTCTTTCACATTGAAAAATAATTTAATTCTTTAATCATACTCCCTACCCCCCAACCACCCCCCAAAAAATTCCTAGTATTTTTCATTTGCTTTAAAGCTATTTGTGTGTTTGTTCAATGCATGTCCTTGCAATTGGCTCTGGGTGGTCGAAAGGTAGTTTAGCATCAGGCAGGGGGTGGTAAGGTTATTTATGGTTTGTCATGAAACCAACAACTCCAGGACTGAAACTGACAGGAAATAATGAGACATGTATTAGACAGCTGCATTTAGTGTGCATTTCAATGCACTACTTAGAAGGGCATACTAAAAATAAATTGTTCCAGAGCACTGTGTAGGAGGGCATACTAAAAATAAATTGTTCCACTGCACTGCGTTGGAGGGCATACTAAAAATAAATAGTTCCACAGCACTGCCTAGGAGGGCATACTAAAAAATAATTCCACTGCACTTCTTTGGAGGGCATATTGAAAATAGATAGTCCCAGAGCACTGCATAGGAGGGCATACTAAAGTAAAAAAAAACCTAGGGGGTCGAATAAAAATTCTAAATATAAGAAATGAGTACCCTCATCTAGTGATGCATCAGAACAAATTTAGTTGCAATCCATCCAGGTATGAAAGAGGGGTAGAGTTTTTTAGAAAAAGTTTACTCATGACGCATGACGACAGTGAAGCACATTGGCTATAGGTCATCTTGACCCTTCAGGTCAGATGACCTAATAAATAGTTCTAGAGCACTGCATAGGAGGGCATACTAAAAATAAATATTTCCACTGCACAGCTTAGGAGGGCATATTACAAATAAAAAGTTTTACTTCACCGCATAGGAAGGCATACTAAAAAAATAAAGTAGTTCGAGAGCACTGCTTAAAGTAATTAGGCCCATTGCACTGTTTAGGAGGGCGTAATAAAAATAAATAGTTCTGCTGCATCGCTTAGGAGGGCTTATTAAAAAGATGGAACATAAAAATGCTCTCATTCTCCTTTCAAACAATCGGGATTCATCCTGCCAAGTCACTTAAGCTTTCTAATATTGGTAACCGTTATTTATCTGTGTACTGTTCCAGGAGTAATGGTCAGCATGTAGTACAAATTCACTTTTATCTGAATGTTGTTACTAAAGGTCAGGTGGTGGTCAGAACTTGTTTTCCACCATAGGTACAGGGCAGTGACCCAAGAAACTAATTCAGGTCTAAGAAGGGAAGACGAAATCAGGGGAGGGGTACAGAGGATGTTGAGGGCCTTGTGTTAATGACAGCGGGTTCCCACTCCCACACCCCCAAAAAAAGAAAACAAAAATTATCATCTCTATACTTACCCAGCCATATGCATTTTATGAAAAAAGAAACATTACTTTTTGTTTCATTTTGAAATTTGTGAAATCAGCAAGAAGTAGAGGTCTCTGTGAACTTGTTTGAAATCAAATGAATTCAAAATCAATTTCTTTTAATAACCCCCCCCCCCCCTCCCTACTCTTAGGATGAATAATTTTCCCTCAAATGACATGCATAGACAAAATTAAGTGGTACAATTTCTTTTAAGGTTTTAACACAAGAATCCAACAATTTTTAGTATCGGGCTGATTATTGTGTCTTCAGGGGAAAAAAATTCTTAATCACATTTAGTAGCTTGAATTAGAGTGAATTTAGTTAAATGTTATGAACA